TCCAGTATGACCTCATCTTAAATAATTACCTCTGCAATGACCTCATTTCCAATAAGGTCATATTTTGAGGTACTGGGGGTTAGGACTTCAACATAGGATTTTTTTTTTATTTGCTATAGGGCACATGGCACTCCCTAGAGAGAGACAGAGAGAGAGAAAATGAAAAATCACATCACAGTCCCTTCTCCCCCCTTCTCTCCTTGGGATTTGGGGCACACATGCTCATGTTCCCAGTGTGTGTTTCAAGACTCCAGGTCTGGGACTCAAATGACACAGCTGGCCATGTGGGATCCAGCCACCTTAACCACCACGCCATTGGCTAGCCCCAGCATAAGAATTTTGAGGTTAACACATTCAACGTTACAAAAGGCTGGGAAACAGGAAAAAAGGATTTTCTTTCTCTTCTAACTCCTGCTTCTCTTCAGGATATCTTTCTTTTTTTGAAAAGGAGAGAAACTGTGTGGGGGGAGGGGTTTAGTTTTATATATATGTATTTTTTTACCATAGGGCACATGCACTTACCAGAGAAAGAGGGACAGAAAGAGAAAGTGAGAAAACACTCCCCCCCCCCCCAGGAGGCATGTCCACAATGCAATCCTCCTTCTCCATTCTCCTCTCGGGATTTTGTGCACACATGCACACGTGCCCAGGGTGATTCTCAAGCCATCGGGACTGAAACTGCGGTTGGTCATGTGGGAGTTCAGCGCCTTAACCACTACACACCACCTGCTGGCCTTAAAAGGTGGGGGAGTTTCACGGGCCTCTCCACATTGCAAGCCCTCCTGCCCTGGCCTCCCAGTTAGCTAGGACCACATGAGCAGCCAGCTGCCTGCCCTGTCTTGAGATTGGGCCAGGAACTGCCATCACACAGTGGGACCCTCTGACTTATACCACCGCACAGGATCCCTCCTTAAGATCATTTTTTCCATTCGTTTTTTTATCATTCATTTATTCAACAAAAATGTTTTATATAAAGCAAAAAGTATAGATTTTTTTTGAGAGGTTTTTGCTATAGGGCACGTGTGCTCGCAAGAGACAGAGAGACAGAAAGCAAGAAATCACCCCCCAGGGGGGATGGCCATGCCGCAATCCCTTCTCCTCCATTCTCCTCTCCGGATCTTGGACACGCACGCACACGTGCCTGGCGTGAGTTTTAAGCCACCGGGTCCAGGACGCGAACCGCGGTCTACTACGTGGGAGTCCAGCGACATAGCCATTACGCTAACTGCTGGTCCCTAGAACATTTTTGTTTGTTTTGGGTTTTTTTGAGAGGTTTTTTTCGCTATAGGGCGCGTGCGCTTGCCAGACAGACAGAGAAAGAGAGACATAGAGACAGAAAGCGAGAAATCCCCCCCCAGAGGGGATGGTCACGCCGCCATCCCTTCTCCTCCATTCTCCTCTCCGGATCTTGGACACGCACGCACACGTGCCTGGCGTGAGTTTTAAGCCACCGGGTCCAGGACGCGAACCGCGGTCTACTACGTGGGAGTCCAGCGACATAGCCATTACGCTAACTGCTGGTCCCTAGAACATTTTTTTTTTTAACTGAGAACTTCACCTATCATTCTCCCCGGAATGTTTCTTCATTTTGACCCTCCCACCTGCCCTATAACACCCACTCTTCACCACCTACTCTGCTCCCTTGTAGTCTCTGGTATCTACACTTATCCTCTCTACTATCAAGTCTTCTAACCTGTCCATTTCTGCCAAAGAATACAGACATTCAGAAGAACTGGATATTCTTCTTAGGATTTTTATTGACACGATTTAGTTATTCCCTCAGGACATTACTGCTTTAAGCATTTTAGAGTTTTGGAAACCAAGGATTTTTCTTTCATTTTACTTTATTTTCTCCTCCCCCCCCTCCCCGGGTATTTGCACTCATAAAGAAAGAAAACAAAAGGGACAGGGAGAGGGAGAAAGTACCCCCAAGAGGGGATGACCACACTGTGACCCGCAAAAGGGACAGGGAGAGGGAGAAAGCACCCCCAAGAGGGGATGACCACACTGTGACCCCTTCTCCTCCATTCTCTCTTCTCAGGATTTTGGACATGTGTGTGTGCTCAGTGTGGTTTTCAAGTTGCTGGGTCTGGGACTGAAAGCCTTATTCTGCTTTCTGCCCAGTTGCATCACTTCCCTGAGGTTGGGGATGAACAACAGCTTAGTTCTTTGAATCTAGGCAAGAGCAAAAGGAAAAGGAATCAATAAATCAGTCAAAATTTCAAAAGCGTTGTTCTCCCAAAGAAGCACGCAGTCCTTTTCCTGAACTGCGTTGAAGAGGAGGCCAAGGCTCGAGGGGCTGGTGGGAGGGGATTGAAGGATTCAGGATCCCAATTGTGTCCTCTGTGGAGACAACAGATAACCAGCAACTGCTCCCTTAGCAAGCAAGAAGAGAGGAAGCAGCTATAAAAAAGAAGACATTTATTTTAAAATTTTTACATCATCTTTGGGAAATTCAAAATTAGCTTAGGCATGTTTCAGAAGTTTCCGACACTGGGGTCTCAACTCCAAACCAAGAGTAACAGCTTATTGGATTGAGAAGATTTCATGATATTGAACAAAAAGATGACTGTGGGGGAAAAAAATCAGAACAGCACATAGACAGAGGCAACATTCAGTCATAATTTTTAAATTATCTGTCACAAACATTAAACATCTCATCAAACCAACAGTAATATCCATATCTTATTTGTAGTTTACCAGAGTTCCCACGTGTAGAAAGCGTGGAACTCAAAGTTCTGTAAACTTCCGAATCATATTTAAATGTACTTTGTCCCTTCAATAACAATAACAGTTAAAAGCTAGAGTCTAACCAGTGTATCTCAGCCTCCACACCAGCACGCTTCCTGCGGAAAGTCACCTTCCGCTGCACTCAGTCATGATTCTAAGATGACAGTGAGTGTGTCAGATCAGAACAGAAAGCGAGCCAGGAAAGCCTGGGCCCAGAGAAGGGTAAAGGACTCCGCCCTTAGAACAGTGGGCGGCCTAAGGACTCTGGGCTCCTTCCCAAGCTGAGTCAGACCTGAGCCCCCAGCTGTGGGGACCAGCAAGCTCTGGGCTTGGACCATCATCTACAGCCACAGAGGGTGTCGATTGTTCCGAGTGGAGTAGCTGTTGTCTCCCAAGAGGACAGTTCATTCCCTGAGCACAGGATGCTCCCCACCCCAGCCTGCCCCGCAGTGGGGCTTAGCCCAGGTGTGAGCACAGGGCAGGTCCTTAATAAAGGAACGAAATCAACATGTACTGAGTATCCACAATGTGCCAGCTTTGGAGCCAAGACAGGTACTTTCGTGTAGTCCTCACAACAGCCCTGTGAGGTAGGATGCAATGACTCCATTTTACAGATGTGGAAACTGACGTTCAGGGACAGGAATTTGCCCAAAGTGGCACAACTAATAAGTATGGGAGCATCAATGTGAAAACCTACGTCTTACTCCAGGGCTCTTTTTTTATCTCGGCGTGCCAGTTATACGGCAGTAAGTGATTCTCCCAGCTCCAAGAAGGTCAATCTGGAGCTCAAACATGAGAAAACCTTGCACACGTAGGGTTAAGGTAAGCCTTGGGTGTCTAGGACTCCTGGCTCTGTGGCATTACTTTGTGACCAAGCAAATCATTTACCTTCTCCACACCAGGGTCTGGACCAATCCAGTGGGGTTCTCTCCCAGGGAAAAAGAGTTAGCAAGCCCATCTGAGGAGCATGAGTGCAAACACAGCAGGCCAGCCTCTGCCTGGAGAGTCTGATGTTTCTCCCTAGCAAGGAAAAGGTGGCGAGCACGGCAAGCTGGTGTCACACTGCACACCTGTGAGAATCACTTTCACCTCCAGGGATCTAACCTTTCAGAGCGAAATGCTCCTCTCTTCCCTGAGAGACCTTCTGAGGAAGGCCCACGAGAAAACAAAAACTGTGATCAGGATTCTTCCAAAGAAGAAAATAACTTAAAAGTTGGGAGGGGAAAAATGTTATGAAGGGGGAAAAAGAAAAGATGGCACTTAAAAGGAGGTTCATGGGTATGCATTAAAGAGGGAAAGTTGTAGTATAGTGTGCAAAGTTCACGGGTAGGAGAGGGTTGGGTTAGGCCAATCCTGACGAAATCGGGTTTTGTGGATCTGGTGTCCATGGTGAGGCTGCAGCTGCTACCTCAGACAAAGGTATGGAGCTTCCTCAAAAATATCTTGAGCCATTATGTTCAGGCAGGTCTTAGAGAATAAATATGGATGACAGAGAAAGGAGAAATCTGCTTGGCATGTCTCTCCTCTTCCTCTAAGACCCACTCCAAAGTCCCTAGCCCTGTAAAGGCTTCTATGACCCACAGACTCAGTAGGTGAGTCTTAAGGGGACACAGACAGCAAGCGCATCTCTACACATCCCCAGTGCACCAAGAAAGCAGGACTCTAACTGCCCGTGTAGAGGTGAGCAACTTGAGGATAGAGACTATATCTTTTGAAAATTTTCAGCTCCAGATGGAGAGGGAATGTAGGCTAGCGAAAATCCTTTGCTCATAAGCACCCAAGCTAAGGACAAACCCAACAGGCCAGAGTCACAGGAAGACGTCCCAAGGGCATGCACTTTGATGGATGTTGTTTGGAGGAGCTGAGCATGCTTCCAATGCCCTGTACCACCTCCTCGTCTCCCAGAGCCACTCTGCACCAGGCACCATTATTACGTGGGAGAGCTTCTTTAAAACATGAAATCAACACTTGGTGCAGATTTCAAGCAATATATGGTGCTAGTTGGTGAAAATGGCAACATTTAGTTGGGGAAAACAAAGCCCAGCGTGGGCAGCACTGGTGGGAAAATGGATCTTAGATTTACCTGTGTGGGGGACCAGCAAATGGCATGATGGCTATGTTGCTGGGCTCTCATGTAATTGACTGTGGTTTGAGTTCCAGACCCAGAGGCTAAAACTCACTCCGGGCATACGTGTGTGTCTGCCCAGGATCCCAAGGGGAGAATGGAGGAGAAGGGATTGCAGTGTGGCCATCACCCCGGAGGGTGATTACTTGCTTTCTTTCTCTCGCTGTCTTTCCGGTGAGTGTATGCACCCTCTAGCAAAAACTTCTCCAAAATATATATATATATATTTGCCTGTGTGGAAGAAGGAGTCTACTGCCCTGACAGAACATTAGGTGTGTGTACCTGTGTGTGGTGGGAGGCTTCGGCTCACACACTTTGTGACTATAGAGAAGGCTAAGCATGGCTCCTTGCCCTCAGGCTCCTGAAGTCCCAGAGCTCTTGCTGAGAAAGCCCTAGAATGCAAGAAGCAGGCTGCCATTGTTCAGGAAAATGGTCTTCCCAGGCTTGGGCAGCCAAGAGGCCAGCCATAATCTTATGGCTTTTGCCTCATGAAGAAGAACATTGGGTCTTCCTGGAGAGCCCCTGCTTAGCAGTGAATGGTCCGGAAGCCTGAAAGTGTGGCTTTTCCAAACAGGTAAATGTCTTCATCTGTGCCCTCATTGAGGTGCTTGACTAAATTCTTCTCGAAGAGGAGTGGGTGGTAGGCACCCATTGTGCAAGCAGTGTCAAAGAACTTCTGGTAGTAGTAGCACACGTCCGTCTTGCGCTTGGATGGGAGGAACTCGTAAATATCCACCTGGTCACACAGTGTTAACATGATGATGATACCTGGGGAGGGGAGAAGGGATGAGTCATGCCCAGCAGCCACCCCAGTGCCCCAGGACTCTGCCCAGAGGCCCAGCAGCTCTCGACCCCAAATTGTGAGAGATGTCCATGTGGAGTCTCTATCTGTCACTGTGATTTCCAGTGTGAGTTTTTCTGGCAAGCCAAGCCTAGCAGACTGTTCCCCGGGATGCAAGGCTGTTGCATCTTGTGCATCTTCGTAACCCAGCACCCTGGTGCATGCCAGGCCCTCCCTAAACTCCAGCAGATTAAAGGACTCCAATCAGTTGATTAATTTATCAGTGGAACAAACTATTGGGTGGTCAGAAAAGTCATAATGTATGTTTTCTGTTTTCCTATGCTAAAATATGTCATGACTTTCCAACAACCCAGTATATGAAGAGAACAAGACAACCAAACTGACTGAAGAGACAAAGCCATCTTGTGCTTAGTACTTTCCAGCAGTCTAACAGTCTGGGGGAGCGTCCTGGGTGTGTAGTTGTGGGGAAAGTTGTTTCTTTAGTACTTGCATGAAACAGTGTGAGGGAGAGAAGTCTTTCCTTCCCTTAGCTGGGAGAGTTGAAACAAGAGTGATCCATGGTCTGTACTGATGAACCTGCTCATTCAGGCCAGGAGACTGGAGGCCGAGGGGAGCAGCCCAGGTTAGTTGTCTCCAGGGTGGCTATGCAGAACACTGAGGGGCAAGCCCAAGCAACCAGCAAGAGACTCATGCCACCATCCAGGCCTATGCCCAGTGGGCTGAGCTGTCCTGTGCTGACACATCCCCTCTCAGGGCCCTGGGCTCTTTATCTGCCCCAAGGGAGCCACCTGTGCAGCTCTTCTTCTGCACAGCTTATTGTTAGAATTTTTAAAGGATCGTAGCTCAAAGACTCTTTTTGTCCACTTTAGATATAGGGATTCTTTATGAAAGAGTCATTCTCACTGAGAACAAAATGGCAAATTACTTACAGCAACTTTGTTCCCGAAGAAGCAGAGAAGGCAAAAGCCCAACCTCTTCCCTCTGGCTTCCTCTGGCTTAACGGGGGAGACAAGACGGCTCTACAGCTAATGAAGGTATGGGAAGAGAGCTTCTAGGCATTATGGGAAGGAGCACTTCCCCCAGGAGAAGGCTAAAATGGCTCTCCCAGAAGCGCGGGTGTAGGGCATGGGCGTGGTCTCCTGCGGAGGCCTAGCGGAAGAAATTCCACCCCGTGCACAGAGAGCTGTAGCAGCATGGAAATGGCCCGGCAGTCCTGGCCAAACTCAGAGAACAGGAGGGAAGGCAGTGGGCCATGATGCTGACGGGACGCAGTTCACGACAGCTCTGTAGTTATTAAAGAAGTTGTAGTCAGGAGTCTTGTACCACTAAAAAAGAAAGAAGAGTGTCTGTGGCCAGCACTCAGGACCCTCTGCTGTGAGCCCAGACCAATAGCTCCCTCAGGCTTTAACTGGGATGTTCGCTGGGGTGAGTGAAGAGAGGCAGCAGCAGTACAGGGTTTTTTCCTTCATCTCAGGATCCAGCCACACTCCGCAGCACTGTTACTGATACTCTCTTTATGTAAATATTTGATATTTTGTTCATCATAGGCTTTTCATTAATTGCGATTTTTTAAAAGATACTTTATTAAGACATTACTTATCTTGATTACTGAGTTCGGGGGCACTCCTTAAACTGTACACCTGAGATAAGACCTCGTTGGCTCATGGAGACCCCGCCATGCTCTCCCTGTTTCTCCCCACCCTTTGCTCCATCTCTACCTGTCAAATCCTCCCCTCTCTAGGGCCTTGTCCAATGCTGCTTCCTCCATGAAGCGATCTCTGACTGAAGGTAGAAAGAGTCCTCTCCCCTGTGACACCAGGGTGGTCTCTCCCTCCTAGCACAAAATGAATGTGGCCTCAGACACCTGATTGAACCCTCCCATTAGACATCATAAAGAAGAAGAATTCTATCCCATGCATCCTACGTTTTAGACAGAACTTGGCACCGGGTACAAGCAGAGCAAAATCCTACCACTGGTGACCTTACGATGACTGAATGCATGAGACTGGAGAAGAAAGCTAATTTCGTCTAGAAACCAACACATAAGGTCTTTCCCCAGATACAGACTCACCAAGCATCCCAGAGGATGGGGGGTTTGGCTGAATTTCCTCCGGGGCAGTTTCTTGAAGGATGTCCCACAGCTCCCAAGGCATCTGGGGCTTGAGGATGTAGAAGGGCTGATTGGGATGCAACTTACGATAGCTCTTGTAGTTATTAAAGAAATTGTAGTCGGGAGTCTTGTACCACTGAAAAAGAATTCATTGGTCTCCTCAAGGAGAGAAGTGTGCCAGAGTTGGGGTACCTCTAGGCCATCCTCATCAGAGCATTTAGGAAGAAGACAGGGCCAAGGACGAACCGTGGCACAGCCCTTCCCTCAGAACAGACACACGTCAGAGAGCCTGGATAGTGCGGTCCTTCTCCTAGGATGTTTTTACAGAGAAGGCTGAGCTCGGTGACCCAAGAACAGGTTCAGCCTTCAGGGTCATGCAGCCTGGGGATAGTATCAGAGCTAAAAGGAGTCCTAGGCACCATTTAAATCCATCTCTCCCTTAAAAAAAAAAAAGAATTCCAGAGGGCATGTGCACTAGCCAGAGAGAGAGAGGGGAGAAGAAAGCAGAATTCCAGAGGGCATGTGCACTAGCCAGAGAGAGAGAGGGGAGAAGAAAGCACTTTCTAGTGGGGTGTGGTCATGCCTCGATCCCTTCTCTTCCACTTCTCCAACCTGTAGGGATTTAGGGCACCCCCATACAAGTAGCCAGCATGTTCTTCATGCACTGTGGCTAGGATCTGAACTCTGCAATTGGCCATTTGGGATGCAGCTCCTCCAACCACTAGGTCACTAGGCTGGACCCCCATCTCTCATTTCTAAGGGGAGAAAACTGGGGCACAAGTGGCTACACTTATGGGTTCAGAGTCCTTCACCCAACATGGGCAATTTGAGTCCTAGATAAGATGAGGGCCAAACCATAGAGACTGGGGTAATGACGATGGCAGGAGCCAGCAGGGCACCTCAGCCATCGATGGATCCAGCTGAGATGACACGTTCCGAGAACAGTGCTCTCTGCCTCCATCCTCCAAACCATTCCCCTGTGGCCACCACAGCCCACAACAGGGAAGGGCCAAATGGACATGCATAACACAAAGGCTGTCCCAGAGAGGCTGCGAGTCCAACAGGCCTGCAGCTCACGCCTCCTCTCTGAGAGAGCTGATGCTACAGACCTGTCTCCTTTCCTTAGAGAACCGAGTCTGGGGACAGGGTACTTCCACTTTCCACAGTGCGCCTACATGTAAACTGGGAACAATCATGCCTGCATCTACTTCCTTCTATTGTTAGGAGAGTGAAATAGGACAAACTCTGAAAGCTGGAAGAGTGGAACAAAACTGTAGTGATATGATTTACAGGTGGAAGAGTAACCTCCACATACTCCTGCTGATGGTCATCAGGAAGAACTGTAATTAGGATCATAGTCTACCCAGGTGGAGAGACAGCCAGCCACTACTACTCCCAACACCTAAGGAGCATAGTCTACCAAGGTGGTGGAGAGACACCTAGCCACTACTACTCCTGATACATAGGAGCATAGTCTACCCAGTTGGTGAGACACCCAGCCACTACTACTCCTGATACCTAAGGAGCATAGTCTACCAAGGTGGTGGAGAGACACCCAGCCACTACTACTCCTGACACATAGGAGCATAGTCTATCAAGGTGGTGGAGAGATACTCAGCCACTACTATTCCTGATACCTAAGGAGCATAGTCCACCCAGGTGTTGAGACACCTAGTCACTACTACTCCCTATACATAGGTGCATAGTCTACCCAGGTGGAGAGACACCTAGTCACTACTACTCCTGATACCTAAGGAGCATAGTCCGCCCAGGTGTTGAGACACCTAGTCACTACTGCTCCCTACACATAGGCGCATAGTCTACCTAGGTGGAGAGACACCTAGTCACTACTTCTCCGAACACCTAAGGAACATAGTCTACCCAGGTGGAGAGACACCCAGCCACTACTACTCCTGATACCCAAGGAGCATAGTCCGTCCAGGTGTTGAGACACCTAGTCACTACTACTCCCTACACATAGGCGCATAGTCTACCCAGGTGGAGAGACACCTAATCACTACTACTCTGTACATATAGGAGTATAGTCTACCCAGGTGGAGAGACACCCAGTCACTACTACTCCTGACACCTAAGGCGCATAGTTCACTCAGATGGTGAAACATCAAGCCACTATTATTCCCTGCACATACTATAACTTGGAGACATTCTTGACAGTGAGGGGCAGGGCATGCAAAGCAGCTCAGATTGGACAGGGATACTTCTGAAAATGTCAGTCCATGTGAAGTGGGTGTACTAAAATTGAAGTAGCCAGCCCTCAAAGATGGCCTGGCTCAATCATGACTTTAAAAACCTAGGAATTCTGAGACCAGCAAATGGTATAATGTTACTTCACTGGACTCCCCACATGGTCAACCACAGTTCAAACCCCAGACCCAGTGGCTTGAAACGCACACTGGATGTATGTGTGTGTGTGTGCCCAAAATCCCAATGGGAGAATGGAAGAGAAGGGATCGTGGCATGGCCATCCTCCCTGGGGGGGTAATTTCTTACTTTCTGTCTCCCTTTCTGTGAGCATATGAGCCCTGTAGCAAAAATCTCTCAAGGAAAATCCTAGGAATTCAGGAAAATCCGTATGCAAACAGGAGACTCAACCCGAATTTCCCCGACCCCCACTTACCTTTGCGATATCTGAATGGTACACTGATGGGTCCCACACAATGAGGATTCCTTCACTGTACAAACTGTCCTTGAGGAAGCGCTTGTCTGTGGTGACCAACTGCAGGAAGAAATAGGCTGTCACTTGTACATTTACGTGTAGACATTTGGCTTCTAGTCCCTCAGCTCACACCTCGTGGGTGTCAGAGAAGTGGAGTTTTAAATAAAAAATCTTACATAATTAACAGGACATCTGGAGGCCCAGCCACCATAGCACAGGTGTCTTGGTGTCACTGCATGACACTGAAACATAAGGGAGAGTCCTGGGTTTGGTTCCTAGGCCCACCTGAGCATGCCGGGTATGCCTGCAGGCATGCCCCTCACCCTTCCTGGCTAGAGGTCTTATGGAGAATTACTGCAGGACAAGACTCTGCTGGAGGTCTCTCTCTCTCTTTTCTCTCTCTCTCATATGAAATTTAAAAAACAAAAACAGTTTGCTAAAGAAAAAGAACCAAAAAGAAGATGAAAACCTCTGGAAATCCCTTCGATCTCCTGTGAGGTCGAGGACACAGTACGTATTCGTCGTGGCAGAGTTGTGTATCCTGCTCATGAAGTGCAACACAGCCGCTCGTCTCTGTAGCCCTGGAACAGATCGCCGTGTCTGTGGCTGAACACCCAATGACTGGATGAAGTTGACAGCTTGTATGGAGGGGCCACAGTGTATCCCAAAATACACATCTTTAAACACGAGAATCAGGCTGATGAAATGCCCATTTGCAACATGTTGGGAGAAATTGGCCACAGCTCCCCGCCACACACACTGGCTCCTGGACTGGCCTGCGCACGAGTAGCTGAACCCACTAGGCTTAACATGGTGACAAGAATCCCAGGGACAATCTTGATGAAAAGATTTCACAAAATGTATTAAGAGCCTTCTTTTTAAAAGCATATTTATATTCTTTGACACACTAATTCCACATGTGGGGATCTATCCTTTAAAAAGAATCCAAATTCTGAGGGAAAATTATGCATATACATTATGATTAAATTATTTATCAAAATACAAAAAGTGTGATAGCAGAAGGTAAGAGATACCTGGCTTAGTTGCAGAAAGACCAGGCTTTGCCATTAATTTATCTATGATCATAATAAAGTCAGGAGATAGGCCAGGCTCATGGCTTAGGAGTTAAGGGGTAGGGTCCCACATGCCAGGCCCCACAGTTCGAATCCCAGACCCAGTGGCTAGAAAAATATACTGGATGTATAAAAATATACGTGCATGTATACCTAAAATCCCAACAGAATAGGGAAATAGAGGAGAGACTGTAGGGTGACCATGCTCCATGGGGAGTAGGGGGGACTTTCTCTCTCTCCCTCTCTGTCTCTTTCAGGTGAGTGGATGTACCCTCTGGCAGACAAAAACAGAAAAAAAGAAAGCAGAAGGTCAGGACTTTCTTTCTCACTAGGATTCCTTTCCTTATCTGTGAAATGTGTAAGGTAAATAACACACTCGCTTTGCTCTGTCAAACAGGAACTGTCTTGAGGATCAAATGGAGACCATGAATGTATAAGACAGAGAGCAGCCCAGAAACCTAGCCATGAAAGGGGCAATGTCCCTCTTTAAAAAGCAAAAACTGACGTACGAGAGCACTTGTCAGACATTCACCTTAAAGAGCAGATGAGAGATGACGCTGCCCAGGTGAAAACTGAGAGGAACAAATGGGAGAAATAAAATCAAGAGCTGACTGAAAATGAAAGCAAGAATTACAATAATAATCCCTCTTTGAGGCCGGCCAGTGGGATGGTGGGTAAGGTAGCTAGATCCCACATGGCTGACTATGTGGTTAGAGTTCTGGACCCGGCAGCTCGAAAAACACACTCTGGGTACATGTGTATGTGTGCCCAAAATCCTGAGAGGAGAATGAAGGAGAAGGAATTGTGGCGTGGCCATCCTCTATCGGGGCAGGGAGTGCTTTCTCACTTTCTTTCTCTCTCTACCCCTCTCTCTGTGTCTCTGACTCTGTTGAGTACATGTGCCCTCCAGCAAATTAAAGTAATAGTAATAATATACCCTCCTCACCTCGATCATTATCACCAAGGCTGAGACCTAACCCACGTCACTGCAGTATCTGAAAATGACTATAGGAAGGAAGACTGTGACCCACGGAGTGGCAATCTGCTGAGTCTCTAAGATCATCAAGCTGTCCCTACCCCTATGTCTCCCTATCTTCCTAGGAAGTACCTGGAATCCTGACGAATATGCTCTCATTTCCTCAGTATGTCTTTGTGATTGGAAATAGCGGTGGTGGGCTCACCTCAGCCAGGGATGCTGGGGAAGGCGGGCAACTAACCAAGACTAAGCTTTGCAATGGTGAGACCTAGGCAACTAACCAAGACTAAACTCTGTGATGGTGAGACCTGGGCAACTAACCAAGACTAAGCTTTGCGATGGTGAGAGCTGGGCAACTAACCAAGACTAAACTCTGCGATGGTATGAGCATAGGCAACTAACCAAGACTAAACTCTGCGATGGTGAGACTGTATAGGCAGTGTGAGGACAGCCACATGGTGACTGAGTGTTAAGTGACAAAAAGAACATGCCAAGCCAGGAGAGTGTGAGGAAGGAAGGTGTCCTAGACAGAGGGAACACCAAATACACACTCCTGAATGAGAGTGTGTGGAAGACACTGCTAAGGTGTTACCCAAGGTGCATTCTCTCTCTTTTCCTCAGTAACAAATCCCTCTGATTTTCACCTTGACACGTGGCTCCCTGAAATAAGAATTTCACAGCCTGTCTTATAGCTAATTATGACTGTAAGGCTAATCTTGGTCAATGGTATATACACATATATAACTTCAAGGAAGCATTCTTAGGGAAGGTTTATGCCCTTCCTTGTACCTTCCCCCTTTTTGCTGGTTGAAATGTGAATGTGATGGCTGAAACTTGGGCAGTCATTTTGGACCGTGAAGTGGAAATCATATGCTAAGAATGGCAAACCCACAAGTTAAAAGGAATCTGGGATTCTAACACTGTAGAACACATACCAACTCTGTAATGTCTACCTCTGGACTTCTTTTACATGAGAGAGGAATACATTTTGTCTTGTAGAGCTGGCGGGGGGGAGGGCAAGAGGTGGGCACAGTGTTCCTGTCACTTGCAGCTAAACTTAATTCTAACTTATCTGTAGCTTATCTGAGAATTACAAGTAGGGACCAGCAGTTGGCATAATGGCTATGTCATCGACCGCAGTTCGAGTCCCAGACCCGGTGGCTTAAACTCACACTGGGCACATGTGTGTGTGTGTCCAAGATCCTGAGAGGAAAATGGAGGAGAAGGAATTGTGGCGAGGCCATCCCCCCGGAGTGTGATTTCTTGCTTTCTGTCTGTCTCTGTCTTTCTGGTGAGTGCACATGCGCCTTAGAAAAACCTTTCAAAACAAACAAACAAAAACAAAACAAAACAAAGAGAAAGAGAATTACAAGTTGTTCAGTGTAGCTAGAGACAGAACTGGAAGGGGTCAGATAAATGTAGTTAGGGGCCATGCCAGGGAGTTTAGTAGATTATGAGGATCAGTGAAGGCTTTCAGAGGATCTACACAGACTAGAATTCTAGAATATGGTTTTTAGAAAAAAGAATAGAAATAGAAGTTCCTGTTGTATTCTAAATAAGAAATGATGGGTAAGTGAAGAAAAAAGAGTACAACTGTCAGCTGTAGAGTTATTGGGTATTGGAAATGAAGGAAAAAGGTATCAAAGCTCACTCTGAGACCTCAGACCTTTTACCACAGTAAGAACATGGGAAAAGGAATAATTGGGATGTGCCTATGGGAAAGGGCTGGGATGGGGATCTGAAGTTCAAGGCTAAGACAACAGGCCAGAATTCTATACCTGCAATGCCGTAAGACATAAGACCTAGGAATAGGACCTATATCTCCTAACTTCAAGCACTGTCCCCTTTCTATTAAGAACACCATACCTCACAACACGGGCATTTGGTGCTACAGTCCAAAGGCAGAGCAGGTTCTCTGGCAGACATGATGGATCTGGTGACAGGGAAGCCTTGGGGCTTTCTGTTCCTCTAATCTATACATGTGTCTCAAGGTAGAATTCTGCAGTGGCATTTTCTACCCTCATCCTATCCTATCCTGCAAAAACAGCTGGTAAAGAGAAACCAATGTCTTTTCTTTAGCTATCTTTTTCTATTTTCTTTTTCTTTTTTTACTATGGAGTATGTGCACTCACTAGAGAGAGAAGAAAAGATAGTACCACCTATGGGGGATGGTCACATCACAATCCTTTCTCCTCTGTTCTCCTTTCAGGATTTTGAACACACATACATACACTCACTCAATGTGTTTCTCAAGCCACTGGTGTGTTTCTCAAGCTTCCAGGTCTGAGATTTGAATCATGTGATCAGCCATGTAGGATCCAGCTGCCTTAGCCATCATGCCACAAGGTGGCCCACTCTGCTTCTATCTATACACAGTACTGATGCTGGGTGATTACACTCATGAGGTTAGCACTAGCTGCAATTTAAATGTCTCCTTCTGCCACAGTCCCTCTCTAGCAATTTTCGTAGTATGTGAAACAGAAGGCCAGCAACATCTGGCTCCCCGAGACTTTCCCAGCATCTGTGGCTTCATTGTCCTCAGCAATTCCAAAAACGATGAGCAAAGCTTTCACTTAAAACAATAAATTATAACAAGAATAACAATAACAGATGCCATTTAACAGTTCTTACTAGATGTTAGATACTTCATACGGTATCTTCATTCATTTTCACAACAACCCTACAAGATAATATGTCCTTTTTTATTTGCTTGTTTAGTTTGATTTGTGTATATGTGCTCACTGGAGAAAGAGAGAAGGAGAAAAGAGAGAGAGGGAAAGTGAGAAAGCATCCTTAGAGGGAATGGCCCATCACAATCCCTTCTCCATTCTACTCTTGGTATCTCAGGCACACGCACACGCCCCTGGTGTCTCCTTCAAGTTGCTGGGTCCAAGACCTGAACTGAATAGTCAACCATGTGAGATCCAGCTGACTTAACCACTGTGCTACCGGCTGGCCCAATATGCCCTTTTTATAAATAAGAAAATAGACTTAGAGATACTGAGTAATTT